ACAAAAAAAAAAACACCGGTTCCCTGATCCGACTGACATGCTGCTTTCTGGCCCTCGTCTGAGCTACCGCTAAGGCTAAAGCAGACATAGCGTTCGTGATTGTAGGCTGTGGATTTCCTTTGCAAAAAAAGAGAGGCTTGACCTGGGCCGCCGGGCTGGAACTTTACTCGTGCTGCCGGGTGGTATCATGACTGTTGCGGTTTCCTGCGGTACAAACACCTAGAAACCTGCCTCATCCAACCCGTTGTCGCTGGACCTCGGCGACCTTGAACCAACGAGAGGCTTGGAGGGAAAGGGAGCACAACAAAATGTGGCCGGTTGGGGCCACCATTTTCAGAGCAGCATGCAAAACTGCGACAAGACACTCGAGAAGGGTATCTACGGCAATTACAACCACATTCACTAGAGACGTGAAGACTCCCTCAGAGTTGCAAAGGTCCAAGAAGTACTGCAGCCCCGGGATCAACTGAGCTCTGCTTCTCCCTCCACGAGGTTCTGCCGAGGTGCAGATCAACGTCATCGAGATGCCCCTGCGCCAAAAACCAGCATAAACAAGCAATAGTCCAAAAACTCAGGCTGCTCGTGTTAGGAACCAACCAGCATGTGGACGGGCACCCGCACTCTACCCTTGCGCACAGCACCTCTCAGCTGAAATCTCATGTCACAACCCACACGACAGCTGGAGTCTTGAAGCTACATTACTCATTACAGGCATCGACCGCTTCCCTTCAGGCCCCACGCCAAGACAAGATGAACTCATGTCTTGACCGGCTTCGTGTGATTGCAAACCGTTACGGTGGTGGTGTTTTGGGGCACCAACTAGCAGCACCATAATCGTTACCGTCGTGTCGATTTATGAAGAGCAAACACCTCTACAAGGACTAGTGGCCAGAAGAGCACCTGTGCTGTCAGTTCAAGCCTCTAGGTAATACTGCTGTGGCTAGTACTACCGCTGCTCCCCACCACTGCCCATACCCCCACTACTAACGCTGCTGCTACTGATTGTGCTACTTTGCTGCTGCTGCTGCTGCTGCTGCTGCTGCTGCTGCTGCTCCTACTACTACTACTACTACTACTACTACTACTACTACTCCTTCTACTACTACTACGACGACTACGACTACGACTACGACGA